AGGACAGGACCAGGGGTTCTGCCGCTACACCACAACACTGCCTCCATCTCTCACATCCAATATCAGCACAAGCCAGCCCGGCGCTGTTCAATAGAAACATAAGCCGCATGGGTAATTTGTGAAAATTCTAGTACTTATATTTTTAGGGTCAAAATAAAAGATCAGTATAGTTAATTTGAATAATGCTTTATATAACACCATATGTTCCATACGATCCTCATTTCAGATATAATTAATATTAAAATTTTTCCTGCTTGGGTTTTTTTTTTAAATGATTTAAAAATTTAGTTGGGCTCCTGCTATCAATGTTTTACACCTGTAATCCTAGCTACTTGGGAGGCTGAGATCTGAGAATCAAGGTTTGAAGCAAGTCCGATGGTTAATCTTTATAATTAACCACCAAAAAAGTTGATAGTAGAGTTAAATTGTAAAGCAACAGCCTTGAGCAAAAAAGCTAAGCAAGAATGCCCAGGCCCTGAGTTCAAGCCCTAGTACTGGCATACACACACACACACACACACACACACACACACACACACACACACACACACACACACACACACACACACACACACCAGGCACCAATGGCTTATGCCTTTAATCCTAGCTAATCAGGAGGCTGAGGTCTAAGGACTGAGCTTCAAAGCTAGCCTGGGAAGGAAATTCCATGAGCTGCATCTCCAATTAGCCACCAAAAAGCTAAAAGTAGAGCTGTGGCTCAAGTGGAAGAGAGCTAACCTTGAGCCAAGAAACCTCAAGGATGGCACCCAGGCCCCTGAGTTCAAGCCCCAGGACCAGCATAAATAAATAACAAACAAATACAGTTTACTCTTTTTTTCATGCTAATAAAATTCAAGGGCTCACTTGTCACATGTGGATAGGGACCACTGCGATGATTTAGTTTAACTGTTTTTATGAGTTATAATTATTTAATGATTTGAATTATACAAGTCTTCCACAGAAGATTTAAGCCAGAAGGGTCAAGACTGGTTTACTTCACTGTCCTGTCCCCAGCAGAAGCACACCCATTGACTTGTGGGAGGGGGTATCAGAATGAGATCTGTGTCATCCTGTGCATCAGAACGACACAAGACCATCTAACGCCAATGTCAGCATGGTTTCTATGGAATAGAACAGGTCAGCTTTAAATTGGGGACATTCAAATCTCAGGTGTCAGAATGTGTGCTCCCCAATGGCACAAAGTTCCTTTTTCTCCCACTCATCTGCCTCCAGCCCATAGCACAGTGCTTGCCACCATGTATTCAATGAAGCCACTCTTTTCCCTCCTCCTCCTCCCCAAGTAATGTCAGTAAAAACTGAGTATGTTTCAGAATACCCTTAAATGGTAGGATGAAAAATCCAGCAGGGAACTGTGTGTGTATTTTAAACATTTCTCACAAGAAGCGTGCCATTGAATTCTCCCACAGGCATGAGTAATAAAGTCAGACTAAAGTGGGAGTTTCTTGACAGCTAGCTAAGCCTGGCTTTTCAGAGAACATGTAGTTTTCCAGCCATGCTAGCAAATGGGTAGGAAGAAAATGAGAATCCTCTTCCTTTTTACCTCTTCCCCCTTTCCCTGTATGGCTAAAGACTAGAAAACCGTGTTAACTTAGGCCTGAGTTAGACTTTCCTATGATCCAGATATCTTGGGACAGCCCAAGATGAATTGGATTATAGATAGTATGGTGATGAAATCCAAAAGAAAAATTAAATATTGAGTGATTATTTTACTATTGCTGGTGAGTTACTCGCTAAGGAGATTAGACACAACTTATTCCAGTTTGATATTTTAAGTGCTGTAATAGATGGAAATAGAACTCTGAGCTTTTATAGAAGAATTGTGGTACTAATGGCACAGAATAATTCTCGGTTTTTCAAAGACAGATCACCTGTGCTGAGTCCCATAGATGGAAGGGCAGGTGTAATAGCACAGAGGCATGAATAGCTTAGCACTGTCAAGGACCAGGAAGGTCAGTGGGTCAGAAACATAGGATGCATGACTGGGGAGAAGTGGGTAGAACAGAAGACTAAACTAGAGGAGAGGTTAAAGAAAGTGTAGTAAAAGAGACCCTGGAGTAATTTTCCCAGTAAGCTTGACCTTTGCTCTCTATGTATGAGCTGTTTGAGGGAAGCTCATAAGTCTTTGATTTCACAGAAGCAGGATTGTGCTGGAGGGTTAGCATATGGTGACTGATAAGTGAGAAAGCCAGGCACTGGTGGCTCACGCCTGTACTCCTAGCTACTCAGGGGGCTGAGATCTGAGCATCATAATTCAAAGCCAGCCTAGGAAGGAAAGTCTCTGAGACTCTCAATCTCTCCCTTTCTCCTTCCCTCCCTCCTTCCTCCTTCCCCCCTCTCTCTCTGCCAGTTTTGGGGCTTGAACTCAGGATCTGGGCACTGTCCCCATGCTTCTTTTGCTCAAGACTATTACTTTACCACTTGAGCCACAGCGCCACTTCTGGCTTTTTCTGTGTATGTGGTACTAAGAAATAGAACCCAGGGCTTCATGCATGCTAGGCAAGCACTAGGCCACATACCCAGCCCTCCCTGAGACTCTTATCTCTAATTTACCACCAGAAAACTGGAAGTGGTGCTGTGGCTCAAAGTGGTAGAGCGCTAGCCTTAAATGCAAGAGTTCAGGGATAGCCCTCAGGCCCTGAGTTCAACTCCCATGACCAAGAAAAAGGAAAAGAAAGAAAAAGAATGGACTTCAGGGGTTGGAGGTATGGCCAATGAATGGAAGCAACTATAGGTACTGAATTGGAGTCCTGGTCTCAAACCTAGAAAAAAGAAAAGAAAAGAACAGGCTTCATGCCCATGCCTATATAATCCTAGCTGCTCAGAAGGCTGAGATCTGAGGATTATGGTTCAAAGGCCAGCTCTAAAAGAAGTGTCCATGAGACTCTTATTTCCAATTAACTAGCAAAAAGCCAGAACTAGAAGTGTGGCTCAAGTGGTAGAGTGCTAGCCTGCAACAGAAAAAGCCAAGTAAGATTGAAAGGCCCTAAATTCAAGCCCTAATACCAACACACAGACAGACAGACACACAGACACACACACAGACACACACAGACACAGACACACTCACACACACACACACACACACACACACACACACACACACACACAGAGTGGGCTTCATGTCAGGCATGGGTTGCTAATACCTGTAATCCTAACTACACAGGAGGCTGAGATGGAAAGGATTATGGGCTTGAGGCTGGCCCTGGAATACATATGAAACTTCTTCTTGACCAATTGCTGGGTGTAGTAGTGTATACTTGCCATCCTAGCTACGTGAGAGACTGATTACTATTCCAGGTCAGTCTAGTTAGAAAATATCCATGAGCCAGGCACTGGTGGCTCACACCTATAATCCTAGCTCCTCAGGAGGCTGAGATCTCAGGATCACAGTTCAAAGCCTGCCTGAGCAGGAAAGTCCATGAGACTCTTATCACCAATAAGCCACTAGAAAACCGGAAGTGGCACCGTGGTTCAAGCAGTAGAGCGCTCACCTTGAGCTAAAGAGTGCAGGGACAGTGCCCAAGCCCAGAGTTCAAGCCCCACAACTGACAAAAAAGAAAAGAAAAGGAAAAATATCCATGAGCCTCTATCTCAATGAAAGCAGCTGGATGTAGTGGCACATAGCAGTCATTCTCACTATGGCCAGAGCTAAAAGATAGGATGGTGGTTCAGATGCATACCTGGGCAGGAAGTGTAAACTGAAAAATCACCAGCATAGGAAAGGACTAGAGGTGACATTCTGTGGTCAAAACCTGCCTAGCAAACAGAAAGCCATGGCTTCAAACCTTGGTACAGCAAAAACAAAACAAAAATGAATGGACTGCACCAACAAAAGCCTTTCTTCCTCTCAGTACCTGTGGGTCATGTGCCTTATCATCAGCCCCCACTTAGCAGGTGAGCATGGCTTTTTTGTTTTGCCTTGTTTACAAATTTCTGCAGTATTCATGTCATGAAACATGGGCTGGAGGCATTATGGAGTTTATTGGTATGTTCAAGCACCACTGTCCTATAGACAGCTATGGGAAAGTTTGAAATATGAAATGAGTCCAGTTGGCTGCCATTGGCCAGAAAGGAACACTCTTCCGCACACTCCCTGGCCTGAGATGTCCTCACAAGTCACTCCCGCCTCCACGACTCCTCCTGCCTCCCACTGCAATTGTCTTCAAACCTGACACCAGCAAACAAGAGCTGGATAAACAGACAATCTTGAGATTGGCAGTACAGACACTTTCAGGCAAGCAAAAACAATAAGCTGAAAATTTAACCTTTGTGTTTTGTTATCGTTGTTGGTTTTTGTGTATGTGTATATGTTGGAACTGGGGCTTAAACTCGGCCTCACAAGCTTGTTTTATTTTTTTGGTGTTGTTGTTCGTTTTTGTTTTTTTTTCCTCAAGGCTGATGCTTTACCACTTGAGTCACAGCTCCACTTCCAGTTTTCTTTCTTTTTTTTTTTTTTGGGTCCGGTCGTAGGGCCTGAACTCTGGGCCTGGGCGCTGTCCCTCAGCTCTTCAGCTCAAGGCTAGCACTCTACCACTTGAGCCACAGCGCCACTTCTGGCTTTTTTCTTTTTTTGCTTATGTGGTGCTGAGGAATCGAACCCAAGGCCTCAGGCATGCAAGGCAAGCGCTTTACCACTGAGCCACCTTCCCAGCCCCCACTTCCAGTTTTCTGATAGTTAATTGGAAATAAGAGTCTCATGAACTTTTCTGCCCACGCTACCTTAGAACCATAATTCTCAGATCTCAACCTCCTGAGTAGCTCGGATTATAGTCGTGAGCCACCAGTACCTGGCTAAAATTTAATCTCTTAAAATAGAAAATTCCAATTACCAAAAACAAAAGGAAGCCAACAAAAGCAGGACCCTGTCACCTCCTCTGTCAGGAAGACAAGAGGCAAATGGTTATCCCACGGTGAGTACATGTATATCTTTCTCTCTTGGGTTTTCTAAGATGGGTCCATGCTATCTGTGATTTCCAGGAGGCTGACTGAAGGAAGAACAAGATAGGAGTGGGAAAAGAGAAGCTTTCAGACATGAAAACTTCGTTTGCCAGTTTGTGAGATTTGGACAATGGAGTTTATGAGGCATCTGGAAGTCATCAACGAAACCAACTTTCCAATGATACCCATAGATAAGCACCTGACCGCCTCACTGCGCATCCGGCAGGCAATGGAGGATTCTCTGAGGAAGGATTTAAAGGAACATCCACCCTGTATCCTGGCCACATGCACTACGGAGTCAGACCTCAGAGCAGTGATTAGTGCTAGTGTCTATGCTTGTGTCTATATAGCTTGTACTATATGTTTTCCTAAATGTTTAAATTCTAGTTGTTATTTGAAATGGGACTATAAGGATTGTTTTGAATTGAGATGTTTTTGTTTTTTGCCTGCCCTGAGACTTGAACTCAGGGGTACTGTCCCTGAGCTTATTTTGCTCAAGGCCAGCACTCTACTACTTGAGCCACAGTACCACTTCTAGCTTTTGCTGTTGATGTGGTACTGAGGAATGGAAACCTGGGTTTCATGCATGCTAGGCAAGAACTCTACCACTAAGCCCAGACCTCTCCCTTAGCTTTTTGCTCAGGGCTGGCACTCTATCCTTTGAGCTACACCTCCACTTCCAAACTTGTGTGTGTGTGTGTGTGTGTGTGTGTGAGTGTGTGTGTGTGTGTGTGTGTGTGTGTGTGTGTGAGAATTGGAGGCTCATGGACTTTCTGCCTGAATGGGCTTCAAACTATGATCTTAGATCTTAGCCTCTTTTTTTTTTGGGAGGGGGAGGATCCAGTCATGGGGCCTGAACTTTGAGCCTGGGCGCTGTCCCTCAGCTCTTCAACTCAAGGCTAGCGCCCTGCCACTTGAGCCACAGCGCCACTTCCGGCTTTTTTCTTTTTGCTTATGTGGTGCTGAGGAATTGAACCCAAGACCTCAGGCATGCAAGGCAAGCACTTTACCACTGAGCCACCTTCCCAGCCCCAGATCTTAGCCTTTTGAGTAGTTAGAATTATAGGCTATGAACCCAGTTAATTTTTTTTCTTTTCTCTTTTTTCTTTCTTTCTTTCTTTTTTCTTTTTTGCCAGTATTGGAGCTTGAACTCAGGGCCTGGGCACACTGTCCCTGAGCTTCTTTTGCTCAAGGCTAGCACTCTACCACTTGAGCCACAAGCTACTTCTGGCTTTTTCTGTTTATGTGGTACTGAGGAATCAAACCTAGAGCTTCACACATGCTAGGTAAGCACTCTACCACTAAGCCACATTCCCAGTTCCCAGTTAATTTGGTTGTAACTGATTTAATTAGAAAGAGCCCCAAAAGAAGAAGGCCTGAATGCTTTTACTGAAAGAATGGAGAAGAAGAGAAAAGAAGTTCATTGTGTTTTGTCTCCTTCCAGCTCTTTTCCAAAGTCTGGTTGTTCTAGATGTAATAGATAGCAACTAGGAAGTCCTGGGCCAGGCCACTATGGGCTTTGGTATTGGGAGCCCCCTGGGCTTCAATAGCACTTGAGGATTGAACTCAGTGCCTTGCACTTGCTAGGCAAGTGCTCTACTACTTGAGGTAAAACCACAAATCTTTTGGCTTTTAGTTTACTTTTCAGGTGATAAGGTCTCCATGGCTTCTTCCCTGGACCAGCCACAGACCTTCAATCCCTTTACCTCTGTCTCCTGAATACATGTGTATGCTACCAAATGTGGCTTGCTTTTGAGATGCTGTCTTACTGACTTTTGCCAGGGCCACTCTTGGACCAAGATCCTCCTTGTCTTCATCTCCTGAGTATCTGTGCTTATAGGTGTGTACTATCACATGTGACTCCATCTTTGTCAATGTTTTATTCTGGTTGACCCCCACCTCTCCTCCCCAGTCAGCCCTTCTGCCTGGGCCTAGTGTTTGCCCCTCTGATATCATCCAGGCTCTACCAGCACCTGCCTTCCCTGGTCCTGTTTTCATGGAGCTTCATATCACTTCTGAAATGTGTTCCAGCATCACAGAAGCCCATCTCCTGGCAACCCTGGAGCCCACCCTGCAAGTAGCACTCTCCACTCTCTGGTTATAAATAACCTGTGTCATACCTTCAAGCCAGGTGGCCTCCATACAAAGTGTGTCCATGTGTCCCTCTCCCATTCTGTACCTCTCTGAAACTACAAAGCACCTACATCTGCTTCAGGGTCTCACTTTCCCGGGCCTCTTTCTAATGCACCCTCTTTCTTTCTGATCCCTCATATCATACCCTAATCCTCCATTTCACTTTCTGTGATTTGTCAGGTCCTTCTTGGTGTCTTCTCTTTTCAATCATCTTCTGATTGGTAAGAACACTTGAGCCTAATGGAGGAGGGTAAAAGAGTGAGCTATTCTGGACTGGAGTGATAGGATTATAGGCCTTTATAAAGGCTCTGTCCTAGATATTCTATCTGAGGCAGCTGGCGTTAAGACAGAAAAAAAAATGTATAAGTTCAGAGGGGAGCAAGAGAGTCCATAAAACTGAGCATGTTTCAACAGAGGTAAACAAGGTCAGGGTAACCTTTGACCTAATCATCCCTCACCTGATAATCTTTCTTAAAGAAACAGCTCTGTACATGACCACATGCATCACAACATGTTTTATTGCTACAAAAAGTTATAAAGAGCTGGGTGCCAGTGGCTCACATCTATAATCCTAGCTACTCAGGAGGCTGAGATCTGAAGATCGAGGTTCAAAGCCAGTTCTGGCAGGAAAGTCCATGAAACCCTTATCTCCAACTAACCGCCAAAAAAGCTGGACATAGAGATATAGAAGTGTGGCTTAAGAGGTAGAGTGCTAGGGGCTGGGAAGGTGGCTCAGTGGTAGAGCGCTTGCCTTGCATGCATAAGGCCCTGAGTTCGATTCCTCAGCACCACATAAGCAGAAAAAAAAAGCCGGAAGTGGCTCTGTGGCTTAAGTGGTAGAGTGCTAGCCTTGAGCTGAGGAGGTGAGGGACAGCGCCCAGGCCCAGAGTTCAGGCCCCACAACCGGACCCCCCCCCCCCCCCAAAAAAAGAGGTAGAGTGCTTTAAATGAAAAAGCTAAGGGACAATGTCCAGGCCCTGAGTTCAAGCCCCAGTTCCAGCATACACCCACACACACAAAAATTATAAACAGCTTCAATATCAATAGCCAAGGAACAGTTATGTATATGAAGATGAATATTCAAAATGGGTTAGTATAGAGTTATTAAAAATTATTGTTATAAGCAGGACCCATCAGCTGCACTGGACATTGATTAAAATGAACTAAGCAACTCAATAGCAGCAGTGGGAGGGAGGGAACAAGTGGGAAAGAGGAAACAGCGGATGCTATGCAAAACAAAAGAAATGTACATATCACCCAATGTGGAAGAAATAACTACATCCCAAAGCTCATAGAACTCACCAATGTGATAGACCACAATAGACCATTTGCCCCATGAAAGTTAGAATGTGTTTGTGACTTTAAGTAAGCATCACTATCCCACAATACTGTGAAATTTGGGATATTACTTAATCACTTAATCACAATAAAGAATTGGAAAAAAAATTAGTTAGATCCAGGCAGAAAAAAAGGAAAATGATTGTTATGAAGATCCTTTAGCTATATAGAAAGTGAGGGTAGAAGAGAAGACAGAGTAAAACAGGCTTTCACTGAGACTGTAATTGTGCAAAAAAAGTATGTATATGAAAAACATTGGAAGCAATGTGTTCCATGCCTATAGTTACAGCTACTTAGGAGGCTGAGGCAAAAGGATCACAAGTTTGAGGCAGGCTGGCCTACTTAATGAGATCCTGTCCATCCCCCTCCAGAATGTCCCGAGATTCCAAGAGTTTCTAGGAAAGTGGCATTGTGGGTACGATGTCTACAATATGATAGATTTTCATTCATACTTTAACAAGATCAAAAGTGTGCAGAGGAAATCATGAGTGGAGAGATTCCTTAACAAACTTGCCTCCTAGCGTGCCTTATTGGCTCCATGCAGCAGGTGAACCAAAGGATGGGTGGAATAGACCTGAGTCTCAATGAGATGACCAATAGCCTGGTGAGTTGCGGGCACTGGGGCTGAGGCCAGGCCTCTGGGAAGGAAGGGTCTGGGGGTCCTCAAGAGTTGTGTTGGGTTCAGGCCTGTAGTCTTAGCTACTCAGGAAGCTGAGATCTCAGGATCATGGTTCAAAGGCAGCCCAGGCAGGAAAGTCAAAAGGTAGAGCACTCACCTTGAGCTAAAGAGCTGAGGAACAACATGTAGGCCCCAAGACCGACCCAAAAAAAAAAAGTTGTGTTGGCTTAGAGACCCTTTGTTTATTTTAAAACATGGTTCAGTTTCTTCTCCTTTGTTGCTTTGTACTTGTTATAGCAGAGCAATGACTGCTGAACTCCTTACATGCCAGGCTGCAAACTAGAAACTTAAAAGCTGCTTTTTATTCATTTTTGTTAGAAAATATATAAAACAGGCCCTCCAAGAATTCTCAAATACATACACGCACACACAGCTGGGTGGCGGGGAGGGCAGGGGTTCTCAGGGCTCAGCAAGAAGCACTGGTGACACAGCTCAGGCAAGGTGGAGGAACACCATCTTCCTGACTATCTTTGGTTGGAGCACCAGTGTATGTTTGATTATCTCTCTCTTTTACAGTAATTAAGAAGTATGAGACATTGATCTAAAAAAAAATCTCTAAGATAGATTTAGATATTTCTAAATGAGAACAGCAAAGTAATAGCCACGGACCGAGAGTTAATGCCAGGCACCTGGTTCTCAAAGCTGTGAGGCCTCTGGGGCAGTCAGCCGGGTGACCCACCTCACTGCATACCTGGCAGCTGAGGGAAGACTGTGATGAAGGGGACCACTGTTGGGGAACCCTGTGTGCTGTGCACAAGTTCACGGCCGAACCCACAAGCTTTTTCAGCTATAATAGAGGTCACCCACTGGCAGTCTGGGCCCAACGCTGGCCTGCAGCAGCTGACCCTCAGACTTCCAGCCAGCCCGCTTCCTCTGCAGTAGTCTCGCAGTTTCTACAGGCCTGACCTTTGTCCTACTTCACTCCCTGTCCCAGTCAATGTGTCTTTTTTTTGTCATGGGGCTTGAACTCTGAGCCTGGGCACTGTTCCTGAGCTCTCCAGCTCAAGGCCAGCACTTTACACTTTCAGTGCCACTTCCCGTTTTCTAGTCGTTTATTGGAGATAAGAACCTCACGGACTTTCATGCCCAGACTGGCTTTGAACATGACTCTCAGATCTCAGCCTCTTGACTAGCTAGGATTACAAGCATGAACCACCAGCGCCTGGCTCAGTCACTGTGTCTTTAAGCACAGTGCCAGGGACTCGAGGCTTGCCCAAGCTCTTGGTGGGTATATAGTTAAAATAAGAACTTAAACCTCAAGAAACAATGAAGGGTCTCTCTCTTTCCCTGGTAGGATCTGGCAGGAAGCTGCCTAGAATCCTCAGCTCTCCTGCGTGTTTGATTTTTTTTTTTAACCACTCTGGGGCTTGAACTCAGGGCCTGGGCACTGTCCCTGAGCCTCTTTTGCTCAAGGCTAGGGCTCTATCACTTGAGCCATATTGTCACTTCTGGCTTTTTCTGTGTATGTGGTAGTGAGGAATGGAACCCAGGACTTCATGGGTGCTAGGCAAGCACTCTACCACTGAGCCACATTCCCAGCCCTCCTGGGTGTTCTTGACTGTCACTCACAACCAGGATGGGGCTGCCAGGAGCAGCCTGGAGTCTCCATGTGACCTGGGCGGGAGGACCCCTTCCTGGTCCTTCTTGCTCGTGGCCCAGGAAGCTGGTCAACTGGGCTGGCACTGACTGCCTACTGCCAGCAACCCGTCCTTGGCCTATCCTGTCTCCCTCTTTGGGTTACCGTCTGCCATGACCTTTGTATTCCTCCTGGTCCCGCTGTATAGTTCACTTCTCACCCAGCATTCACTGCCAGGTGGTTTCTTTAGCATCCACTCTGCCCTGGAGGTGTCACTCAGCATCTGGAACAGAGGTAACTCTCTTATCCAAGCACAGCGCTGGCTGGCCTCTTGGTTTTTCAACCAGTACAACTAGAGAATCACTGGCTTCATCTTTCCTTCTTTTCTTTTTTATTATATTGGGGGGTGAGGAATTAGATCAAGAGAAGATTTTTGACCGTATGCCAATCCATAGCATTAATTACCTGGTAGGGAGCAGCCCTGATTGTTCCTGTGATAGGTATGTGTGTGTGTGCACGTGTGTGTGCGTGTGTGCATATGCATGCCCATGCTGGTACTAGAACTTGAACTCAGGATCTCAAAGTCTTGTCTTGCTTGGCTTTTTTCTCTCAAAGCTGGCATTCTACCACTTGAGCCACATCTCTACTTTTGGCATTTTGCTGGTTAATTAGAGGTAAGAATCTTTTAGAAGGGACTGGGAAGGTGGCTCAGTGGTAGAGTGCTTGCCTTGCATGCATGAGGCCCTGGGTTCGATTCCTTAGCACTACATACGCAGAAAAAGCCGGAAGTGGTGCTGTGGCTCAAGTGGTAGAGTGCTGGCCTTGAGGTGAAGAGCGCAAGGACAGTGCCCAGGCCCAGAGTTCAAGCCCCATGACCAAAAAAAAAAAAAAAGAATCTTTCAGTCTGGCATCCAGTCTGGTCTCTTGAGTAGCTAGGAGTAATGTTATAAGCCACCAGTGCCTGGCTGTGTTAGTGGGCTTTTATTGTTGTTTTTGGTTTATCAGTGTTGGGGGTGGGTGGGTGGGTGGTGGTGGTGGTGGTGGTGTTGAATTTCGAGCTTGGGCTCTGTCCCTGATCTCTTTTTGCTCAAAGCTATGGAGCCACTTCTGGTTTTCTGGTGGTTCGTTGGGGATAAGAGTTTCATGGACTTCCCTGCCTGGGCTGGCTTGGAATGGTGATCCTCAGATGTCAGCCTCTTGAGTATCTAGGATTACAGGTATGAGCTACCTGTGCCAGGTTGGTGCTAGTGTTTTCAAATACGCTGTAAGCACTTTACATGATTGTACCCTGGAAGGTAGCTATTATTACCTACTCCTATTGAGAGATCAAACGATGGCTTATAACCTATGATGCTGTGATCAGAATTCTGTTTTAACCCCTCAGAGGTGTAGGGGGTGGGCACAAGAGGGTACTGGTTTGGGAGATGTGTTGGTAACACTGAGGAGGGATGTGGAGGAGGGAAGGAAGCTGTCAGTGACATCAGTGGCCACAGGTCCTATCACCTAGGGGAAGAGATGCAGCTGACTTTGCTTCTCCCCCCCCCCCCCCCCCCCCCCCCGGTATGGAGCTCCAAGCCTTTTGGATACTAACAAGTAAAAAGACCTGGACCCCTCCAACCCCTGCCCTTCCCTTCCCCAGGATTTACACTAACCCCTAATGCCACTTTTTTTTTCTTCTGATTTTTGAAGGCGATTGAGAAATATGAGATGGAGAAGAATATTTTAAAAGAGAAAAGTCGCAGCAGCCCAGCAGACAGAGGCAAAAATACTTTCTCAAGCCTTAGCAGTGTTTGTCTGGAGTTTGATTTTTTAGTATTGAGTTTTTTAGGCCCTGGCTCTGGTTTGGCATTCTGTGATGCTGGGGGCTAAATTCAGGGACCTGCACACACTGAGCAAGGGCTCCACCACTGAGCTATACCCTTAACTCTGATTGTTCAGTTTTTGAAATGCAACAGAGAATAATTCCAGAGTTGTAGATGAGGATCTTTTTGTCCTGCCTCTGAAGGAGCCTTAACTCTGACTTCTTGAAGCCAGGCACTAGTGGTACACACCTGTAATCCTAGCCACTCAGGAGGCTGAGAGCTGAGGATTGTGATTCAAAGTCAAACCTGGGCAAGAAAGTCCTTGAGACTCTTTATTTCCAATTAACTACCAAAAAGACAGAAGGGGAGCATGGCTCAAGCAGTAGAGTACCAGCCTTAAGCAAAAAAAGTTCAGGGACAGAGCCCAGATTCTGAGTGCAAGCCCCAGTACCAGCGCGCGCACACGCACACACACACACACACACACACACACACACACACACACACACACAATCTTTGACTTCCTGATGATGTCAAGAAAAGAAGTAGGGAGAATGATGCAGGACCCACCTACTATGTGACATGTGATCCGGGCACTGGCAGTCCTTGTGAAGTCTTCATAATGGTCCACTTGGGAGGTAGGTGCCATTGGATAGGTTTTGCAGCTGAAGAATCAAGGGCCAAGAGGCAAGTCTGCGCTCCCTAATTGCTTCTGATCTGATAGGGAAGGGGACCTTAGTAAGTCAGGGACACAGTGGGGATCTAGCAAGGCCAGCATGGGGCCCGTCTGTTGAATGACAAGTTCTAGTCATGCAGCACCCAGCCGTGGGCCCAGCCCACGGCTTCTCATTTCTGGTTTCTCTTCCTCCATCCTTTAGACAAGAGTTCGAAAAGATTTCTACTTACCTGCAAAGGCTCAGAACTCCGGACTAGCAGGGTTTCCATACCAAAAAGGGTAAGGACCAAGGACTACAGCTACTTTTTACCATTTCTACTGGGCCTGAATTAAATTTTATTCCTGGGGAGGGAGAACATGGTGCTTGGGGAGGGAACCACTCGAATGAAGAAAACCATGGTTCCTTTTCATTTATTATTATTTTTTTCTTGTCATGGCCCTTGAACCCAGGACCTGGGTGTTGTCCCTGAGCTTTTTTGCTCAAGACTAATGCTCTACCACTCTGAGCCACAGTTCCCTTTCTGGTTTTCTGGTGGTTAATTGGAGATAATAGTCATCATGGGGCTGGGAAGGTGGCTCAGTGGTAGAGCGCTTGCCTTGCATGCATGAAGCCCTGGGTTCGATTCCTCAGCACCACATAAGCAGAAAAAAAAAAAAAAAAGCTGGAAGTGGCACTGTGGGTCAAGTGGTAGAGCACTAGCCTTGAGCTGAAGAGCTGAGGGACAGCGCCCAGGCCCAGAGTTCAAGCCCCACGACCAGACCAAAAAAACAAACAAACAAAATAGTCATCATGGACTTTTCTGCCTGGGCTGGCTTCAAACTACAATCCTTGGATCTCAGGCTCCTGAGTGACTAAAATTACAGGCAGGAGCCACCAGTGCCTGGCTTCCCTTTTTCAAAGGGCTTACAATAGCGCAGTAATTCTAGAGGTTCTTTGACACACTTGAATGGACAGAGCCTGACTCCAGTGTCAGAAAGGGTCAGACACAGAAAAAAGAAGGTATGTTATTGTTGTAAACTGTCAAAATGATGGACCCTGTATATAGATATAGATATAGATATTTTTTTTTGCCAGTCCTGGGACTTAAACTCAGGGCCTGGGCACTGTCCCTGAGCTCCTTTTGCTTAAGGCTAGCAGTCTACCACTTGAGCCATAGTGCCACTTCTGGCTATTTTGGTTTATGTGGTACTAAGGAATGGACCCCAAGGCTTCATGTATGCTAGGCATGCTAAGCCATATTCCCAGCCCCTGGACCCTATTTTTATAACCTGCTTTATTTGCTTCAGAAAACAGCAGATAAAAATCTGCTGGCAGAGCGGTACGAACATCCTCCATTTAATGAAGAGAATCCTAACGAGCTTCCCAATGGAGTGGACTTCTGTGACATGGTGGGTAATGTGATCCGGGCCGAGAAAAACCCTTTAAGTGGCAAGGTAAGGAAAGTGTGCAGGCAGGTGATCTCCCACCTGCCCCATAGCTCTTCCCTCACTAGGCAGCACCATGGGTGGGGAACAACAATTGGCCCCCTTTAATAATACTTCATATACTTCAGGAACAACTCTAAACTTGACCAGGGCCACATACTGAGCTAAGCTTCTAAACCTCAGCCCGAGTTCACTCCATGTTCTCATTGTCTTCCCCCAGAGCAGTGGTCTTTTTTTCAAGTAAGATTTTTATTGTGAAAATACCATACAGAGGGTTTACAATTACATGAGCAAGGTAATGAGCACATTTCTTTTTATTTTATTTTATTTTTTATTGTGAAAATACTGTACAGAGGGGTTACAATTACATGGGTAAGATAATGAGTACATTTCTTATCAAGCATTGTAGCCTCCTCCTTTGTTTCCCCTTCCCATCCCTTTGTATCCTCCCCTCCCACCCCCAAACCAAACTTGTAAAGTTCGTTTTTCAACATAACGACTTGTACATCTCATTGTTGCAGTGGGTCATCCTGTATGCCTGTTTTAACAATTTGTTTTTTCCCTTCCCCTCCACATATACCAACATCATATATGATGTAGTGAAAGCAGGGGTTATACCATGGGGGAGGGGCATACAAGGCAACTAAGACATAATCTTATAAATATGTTAGAAACAATCGCATGAAAGATCTCTCTTTCTCTCTCTCTCTCTTTTTTTGTCAATCGTGGGGCTTGAGCTCTAGGCCTGGGAGCTGTCCCTGAGCAATTCAGCTCAAGGCTCATGCTCTACCACTTGAGCCATAGTGCCACTTCTAGTTTTCTGGTGGTTTTTTTTTTATTGTGATTAAGTGATTACATAATTTCCCAAATTTCACAGTATTGTGGAATAATGATGCTCATTTAAAGTCACAAACTCATTCTAACTTTCCTGGAGCAAATTGTCTATCACGGTCTATAACATATAACGGTGTACACATATACACATACATGTGATCAGCAGCATGGGGTTATTTAGTAGTGGTTCGACCAGATGAGTGGAAGTTCTTTGTTTCTTAAGTCCTGTTAATTTTGTCATATCACCTAACACTTTGGATTTAACATCCACTTATCAGGGAGACCATGTACCTTTTATCTCTTTGCTCTTGGCTTACCTCGCTCAACATGATTTCTTCATGAGTATATTTCTTATCAAGTATTGTTGCCTCCTCCTTTGTTTTTCCCCTACCATCCCTGCCCTCCCATCTCTACCACTATACTCCCCCCACCCCAGCAGTGGTCTTTAAGGTGGGTATTTTTAGGCTTTTTTTTGGCCTGTCCTGGGGCTTGAACTCAGGGCCTGGGCACTGTCCCTGAGCTTTATTGCTCAAGGATAGAGCTCTACCACTTGTGTGACACCTCCACTTTCAGGCTGGCTTCAAACTGTGATTCTCAGATCTCAGACTGCTGAAGATTACAGGTGTGAGCCACTAGTACTCACCTGTTTTGTTTTTGTGCTAGTACTGGAGCTTGAACTTAGGGACTTGTGTTTTTGCTGGGATCTTTCACTCAAAGCTGGCCCTCTACTATTTGAGCAACAGCTACACTTCTGACTTTTTGCTGCTTACTTGGAGGTAAGAGTCTCTCTCAAATTTAGCTGCCTGGGCTGGCTTCGAATCATGATCCTCAGATCTCAACCTCCTGAGTAGCTAGGATTACAAGTATGAGCCACAAATGCCCAGATCCTCAGGGTGTTTTGATGATGTATCTTATTAGCAAAAACTTTTGAGCACTTTTGTGGATAATGTCTGCTTATAGACTATATGCACTGCACATTGTGTGGTTAGCTGCTCCAGTGCATATCAGTAAGCTGATTTTCCTTTAATCAAATTGTTACGGGTATGAGGGTATGACCTCTCCATCAAAAAGGCTCATGTGCAAAAGCCTCAATCCCTGTGTAATATATGGAGTGGGACTTTGGGGAGATGATTGAATCATGAGGAATCTGCCTTTGACAATAGATTATTCCATTGATGGCCTTAATGTTGGATGGCTTTTGTTGGGAAGTGGTGGAATGCTTCCGAGGTGGAGCCTAGTTGAAGGAAGTAGGTCACTGGGGGCATGTCCTTTGTCCCCTTCCTCATTCTCTCTCTGCTTCCTGGCTACCATGAGATGATCAACCTCCTCTGCCACACTTCTGCTACCATTTTGTCAGCCTCTACTAAGCTACAAGGGCCAGAGAACCTGACTGAAGCCTCTGAAACTACCAGCTCAGATAAACCTTTAAGTTGCTTTCCTCAGGCATTTTGTCACAGAAACATAAAAGTGACTAATGTACAGACATTAGTTGGAATATTTTCTTCCTGCCCCTTGGGTGAACGCACAGCCTTGAGAGCTGTGCCCAGAACACCCTGCCAAGGTTCTGTGGATGTACCTGATGCCCTTTCACTCAAGGCTGATGCTCTACCACATAAGCAACAAAGTGGCCACACAAAGCCACTCTCTAGTGTTTTGCTGATTAATCTGTCCAGGCTGGTTTCAAACCTGGATCCTCAGATTTCAGCCTCCTAGGACCTGTCATCTCAGAATGTCCCCCTTACTCCATTCCAACCTGTGTACCCACCATCCACCCATCTCCTGCCTTCTGTTTCTCTCTGTCTTCCCCCTTCCCATTCTCTTCTTCCCTCCCTCTCTTTCTATGCCCTCCCCTTTTTCCATGCCTTCCTTTCCCTTTGTCTCCTTTTTCTCTTCCTGGCCCTTCCTGCTTCCTGGCTGTGTCTGAGTCAGTCCATTTGAGCAAGATGAGGAAGGCAGGTGCAGAGCCCAGGACAGACACACAGGAAACATTCAGTAAATGTTATATGTTATATTAGGACAGCAAGCTAAGTATTCTGCAGCTCTGAGCTCATGAATGGTTGCTTTACTTTGGGAATACATGTGCTCAGGTTTGTTTAGTACCCATATGGGTTAAGGTTGGTCATTTCTGACTGAAGAGTTTGGGATGCAGTCCGGGCTTGCTGTACTACTTGCCAAGCTCTTCCACATCTTAGATCTTCTTTCCTGTTCTGTGACAATACTAGGTGCTCATATGGCTGTTGCCAGGTTAAGTGAGAATATCTAAAAACACTTGGCTGGAAGTGGAGCTATGGCTCAAGTGGTGAAGTGCTAGCCTTGAGCTGAAGAGCTCAGGAACAGCACCCAGGCCCAGAGTTCAAGCCCAAAGACCCACCAAAAAAAAAATCTTGAAAACTAAAAACAGCTGGCCATGCAAATCTTGGACACTCACTAGTAGGTTAGGGACTTTTGTGATGACCCCAATATATCTACAGATGACTGGCAGGTGGCAGAGCCTTTAATAACAATAAACAAGCTACTAGAGAGGGAAACCACATTTTAAATGAAGCAATTAAGAAAAAAAAAATCATGTGCATTGGGGCATGCCTGTGGCCTGTGATCCCAGCTACATAGGAGATGGAAAATAGGAGGCCCATGGTTCGGGTTAGCCCAGGTGAAAAGTGTCAGATACTATCTGAAAAATAACCAAAGCACAAGTGTTGGGGATGTGGCTTAAATGGTAGAGCACCTGACTTGGGAGCCCCTGAGTTCAAACCCAAGTATAGCCTGAAACAAAACTTAAAAGTTAAAAAAAAGTTCCAGTATAGTGGCTCATGCCTGGAATTCAGCACTGGTAGAAGGAATGTGAGTGAGTTCAAGTAGTCAAGGTCAGTTCTGAGTTACATAGCATGACCCTGTTCCAGTAAACCAAAATAATAATAGCAATAACAAGCATATTAATAATAATGTGAATTTTGTTTCTTTTGAAGTGTTTCTGTTCAGATAGAGAATTAGAGAAGTTTCTCTCTTCTCATTCTCCCAAAGCCATATGGCTGGATAGCTTCTGGTGGATATTTCATGAGAAGTACCAGGTAAAACCAATCTAATTGGTTCTCTCTATCACTTAAGATATTTTTTATTTGTTGGTTTTAATTTTGTGCTGATCTTGGGGCTTGAACTCATGACCATGGCACTGTTCTTTGAGCTTTTGTGTTCATGCTAGTGCTCTACCACTTGAACTATATCTCTACTTCCGGCTTTTTGGTGGTTAATTAGAGAAAAGAGTCTCAAGGACTTTCTTGCCCAAGCTAGCTTCAAACCTTGATCCCCAGATCTCGGCCTTTTGAGTAGCTAGGATTACAGACATAAGCTACCAGGATCAGCCTAATTGCTATTATTGTTGTTGTTGTTGTTATTCCAATCCTAGAGCTTGAGCTCAGGGCCTGGGTGCTGTCCCTGAGCCTCTTTGTGCTCAAGGCTAGCACTCTGCCACTTGAGCCACAGTGCCACTTCCAGCTTTTTCTGGGTAGTTTATGGAGATAAGAGTCTCACAGACTTTTCTTGCTCAGGCTGGCTTTAAACTGAGGTCCTCAGAGCGCAGCCTCATGAGTAGCTAGAATTACAGGTGTGAGCCACTGGCACCTGGCTATTATTATCATTTTTTTGGGGGGGTCAGTCATAGAGCTTGAACTCTGGACCTGGGTGCTGTCCCTCAGCTCTTCAGCTCAAGGCGAGTGTTCTACCACTTGAGCCACAGTGCCACTTCTGGTTTTCTGGTGGATAATTGGAGATAAGAATCTCATGGATGTTCCTGCCCAGGCTAGCTTTGAATCCTCGATCCTGTAGACTCTTATATCTAACCACCAGAAAAGCTGGAAGTAGAGCTGTGGCTCAAATGGTAGAATACCAGCCCTGAGGATAAAAAGCTCAGGAACAGTACCTAGACCCTGAGATTAAGCCCCAGGACCAGTACCAAAACAAAAACCAGACAAGAAACAGACAAATAAAAAGAATCCCAAGTTGAGCACTGGTGGCTCAATCCCATAATCTTTACTATCTGGGGAACTGAGGTTAGAATGGTTACTGTTTAAAATTTACCCAGGAAGAAAAGTCCATAAGACTCTATCTCAAAGGAAGAAGTTGGGCATGTTGGCTCACAGCTGTCATGCCAGGCAAGGTAGGAAGTAAAAAATAGGCTGACTAGGTCCAGGAACATGTCTGGCAGGAAGGGAGACCCTGTCTCAAAAAAAATCAAAGAAAGGATTAGAGGCAAGACTCAGCAGTAGAGTGCCTGCCTAGGAAGTATGAGGCCCAGAGTTCAAACTCTAGTACTGCAAAAGAAGAAACCAGCCCTTTGGATGTTGCAACAGGCATTCTAGTAATTCCTTCTCCATCTCTATTCTTGGCAGCCGAACAAGGAAATCCAGCATAAGCTGTTTGACCGAATAGCCCAACATTATGCCATCATTTTGTTCCATTTACCCAGGTCCCACTATGAAGAGGCTCTTTTAAAAGTAAGCATCAGCTACTGCTTAGAAAAGTTCAACATTATGGGCTGGGAAGGTGGCTCAGTGGTAGAGCACTTGCCTTGCATGCATGAGGCCCTGGGTTCAATTCCTCAGCACCACATAAGCAAAAAGAAAAAAAAGCCAGAAGTGGCACTGTGGCTCAAGTGGTAGAGCGCTAGCCTTGAGCTGGAGAGCTGAGGGACAGCGCCAGGCCCAGAGTTCAGGCCCCACGACCGGACCCCCCCCAACAACAAAAAAAGAAAAGTTGAACATTAGGCTGGGTACTGGTGGTCTATGCATGGCATCCCTGCTACATGAGAAGATCATGGTCCCAGGCAAGCCCTGGCAAAAACAAACAAACAAACAAACAAAAAAACTGTAACATCCCATTGAAACAGAAAGAGCTGGGTGTGGTGACAGCTCCTGGTATCCCAGCAATGGTGGAGAGGTATAAATAGAACGATCATGTCCAGACCCTATCTCACAAATAACCAGAACAAAAAGGACTGGAGGCAAGACTCAAAGGGGAACACCTGCCTAGCAAGCACAGAGTTTGGAGTTCAAACCCCAGTACTACCACAAGGAAGGCGGAAAGGAAGGAAGGAAGGAAAGAAGGAAGGAAGGAAGGAAGGAGAAGGAAAGAACTTAGATTTCTATTCACTTTTTTGTGTGTGTGCAGTCCTCAGATCTCAGCTTCCTGAGTAGCTAGAATTACAGGTGTGAGCCACTGGCACCTGGCTATTATTTTTTTGTGCCAAAAAGGCTTGAACTCAGGGCTGGGCACTGTCCTAGCCTTAAGCTAAGCTTTTCTGCTTAAGGCTAGCACTGTACCAGTTTGAACTACAGCTTTTCTTCTGGCTTGCTTTTTTTTTTTTTTTTTTTTTTGGTTGTGGGGCTTAAACTCTGGGCCTGGGCAATGTCCCTCAGCTCTTCAGCTTAAGGCTAGCACTCTACCACTTGAGCCACAGCGCCACTTCCAGTTTTCTAGTAGTTTATTGGAGATAAGAGCTTCACGGACTTTCCTGCCCGAGCTGGCTTTGAACTGTGATTCTCAGATCTCAGCCTCCTGATGATGACAGGTGTGAGCCACTGGCGCCCAACTCTTTTGGCTTTTTGCTGGTTAAATGGGAATAAGAGTCTAATAGACCTTCCTGCCCAGGCTCCTCAGATCTCAGCCTCTTGAATAGGTAGAATTACAGGTGTGAACCACCAGTGCCCAGGGGGATTAAAATACCTTTAACCCAAGTACTCAGGAGATAAAGGCAGGAAGATCTCAAGTTCAAGGCTAGCTTAGATTACACAGTGAGACCCTATCTGAAAAGAAGGAAGGAAGGAAGGAAAGAAGGAATGGAGGGAGGGAGGGAAGGGAAAGAAAGGAAGGGAGGGAAGGAGGGAGGGAAGGAGGGAGGGAGGGAGGGAAAAAGAAGACCAATCTTCTAACTTTGTTTTAGGGTCATAATCTAGTATTTAAGAGAAACTGTTTCTATTCACATGTTCTGTTCATCAGCAGATTTGTGTGTGTGTGTGTGTGTGTGTGTGTCTGTATGCGCGCACGCGCACGCACACATGCACTGGTCCTAGGGCCTGAACTCTGGGCACTGTCCCTGAGTTTTTTGTGCTCATGGCTGGTGGTCTACCACTTGAGTCATAGCACTACCTTCAACCATTTAGCAGTTTTGAGTGTCTATCTGCTCGATGTCTAGAACTAATACTAGTGTCAAGTATTTTATTATGCTAGGTAGCATAATAAACAAAAATATTCAATGTAATATGTAATGTCTTGAGACCAAGACAATCTCCACTGATGGGTCTGTGTAAATACTTTTGGCTATGTCCACTCAAGATAATATCATGAAGGTCACTGGTGAAAAACAATTCCAAAGAATATATCATAACTTGCAGAAGTGTTTGTATTGTAATATTAAATAGGTATAGTCAGATGTAAATGTATAGTTTGAGCTCAGTCATAGTGAAGAATGCACAAGAATGCGTAGTGGTAGAGTGCTTGCCTAGCATGCATGAAGCCCTGGGTTCCATTCCTCAGTACCACATAAACAGAAAAAGTTGGAAGTGGTGCTGTGGCTCAAGTGATAGAGTGCTAACCTTAAACAAAAGAAGCTCAGGAACAGTGCTCAGGCCCTGAGTTCAAGCTCTAGGAATGGGGGAAAATGCACAAGAATACCCCAATGCTTACAAGGATCTTTGGGAGATAGTACTCTGGGGCTATCTGCCTTATTATCATCTTGGCACTGGGGCACCAAATGACTAGGCATAGAGGTTCTCGGGAGAGTAGGGGTTGCCGCATAATTATCAGGATGCTTGAGGACTTGACCTTAAGGATGGGGCCAGCCCAAGACCCAGAATGCTCCCTAAGGAACAAGAAGACAGCTTGCTGTCCAGCCAGAATTTGGTCACAGACGTTTCTGAAGTCAAGGCTCTTTTCTGGAGACAGAAATGCGGAGAACATTGGCTGTGCTCTGTGCCCTCCCCACCCCTCTGCAGAAGTTCCCATCACTTCTGAGCAAAGGTGTGTACACCAGCTTCTGCTGCTGCTTCCCACAGTCCTGGTTCAACACGCATGAATTTAAGACGGAGATCTGCAACACCATGAACCTGTGGATAACAGGTGAGTAGTGGCTGCTTCCTCCTCAGGAAATTTAATTTGGACCAAATGATTTCCACCAGAACCTCAGAACCTTCTGGGATTTTTTGTTTGTTTATTTGTTTGGTTGTGTGTGTGTGCGCGTGCTCTCACGCCTGCCAGTATTAGAGGGCCTGAGCACTGTCCAAGTGGCCAATATTGTTTGCCCTCCTGTACACACGGGGCAGCTCCATGCCTGCTCCACAGACTCTTCCTTAAAAGTTGCGATTGGTGTACAAAATAGGGCTGGAGGCATGGTTCAGCAGTCAAGTACCTGCCTAGCAAGTGGCGCTGTGGCTCAAGTGATAGAGTGCTTACCTTGAGCTAAAGAACTGAGGGGCAGTCCCCAGGCCCAGAATGCAAGCCCCACGACCGACCAAAACCAAAAGAAAACAAAACAGAACTACTAAGCCTTATTGCACCTCCACACAGAGCCCTGTGTGCCCTTTGAAGAAAGCAAAGCAACTTTGTGTGGTGTTTTCCCTGGGGAAACACATGAGAGATGCAGTGGTATAGGTTTTATTAGGGACCAACATGGCAACAGCTCTGTCTAGCCTACCTCACAATTCCAGGAAAGCAGATGTTCTGCAAGAGCCCCACGAGGAGTGCAAAGCGCCTAGGCACAAGGAGTGTAATGAAGTTTTATATCAGCACAAGGAACCCTTCCTTCCCCAACAAACTCCCAGACACCAGCCAAAGCCCAGCTCTAAGGGTAGCAGTCTCAGGCTTGCTAATAATTCCTTACCATACTGATTTGAAGAATCAAAGAAGCCCAAGAATGAACAAATGGGAAGGTGGCTCAGTGTAGAGTGCTTGCCTCGCATGCATGAGGCCCTGGGTTCAATTCCTTAGCACCACATGAGCAGAAAAAGCCAGAAGTGGTACTGTGGCTCAAGTGGTAGAATGCTAGCTTTGAGCTAAAGAGCTGAGGGACAGCGCCCAGACCCAGAGTTCAGGCCCTACAACCGGCAAAAATAAAATACAATAAAAATTAAAAATCTAAAGGATGACACCTAGGTCCTGGAGTTCAAGTTTCAGTACTGTCACAAAAAATAATAATAAAATAAAACAAAGCCCTATAGAGAGGAAGTAAAGTATTCAGGCCACTGTGGGCAGGGCTAGTCTTGAAGCACAGCCTCCCTAGAACCAGGTGTAATTTTGAGGCTTCGGTCTACTTAGCAGAAATGTCCACTATCATTCTCAACTTCTTTTAGGGACATATCCTCGTATACAGAGCTATAAGGAGTGGGACTATTCAGAATTGGATCCAGAGAGATTCCGGAGAGAGGAATTACTGAATCACAGAAAACGGCAGGCAAAAGGTAAGATACCAGCCAACGTCCCTGCCACACCCAACCACCATCTAACCCAGGCAACCGAAGGTTATAACATCTGTGTCCCCAAGCCCGGTTCTCATGGATCTCCAAATGAGTACATCGTCCATGTTTGTGAACTGCAGTTAGAGTCCCTATGATGTGACTATTGAGATGTGAGGAATTAAATTTTATAGTCAAATAGTAGGTTTTAAGTGACTTAGGTCTGTAATTTTAGCGACTTGGGAGGCTGAGATCTGAAGATTAAGGAGTGAAACCAGCCTGGGCAGAAAAGTCATGAGATTCTTATTCTGATTAACTACAAAAAAGCTGGAAGTTCAAATGGTAGGCCTCCAGCCTTAGGCAAAAAAAGCTAAGGGAGTCAGGTGCCAGTAACTTATACCTGTAATCCTAGCGACTCAGGAGGCTGAGATCAGAGGATCTCAGTTCAAAGCCAGCCAGGCCAGGAAAGTCCTTGAGACTCTTATCTCCAATTAACACTCAGAAAACTGGAAGTGGCACTAGTGGCTCAAATAGATGGAGTGCAAACCTTGAGCAAAAAAACTCAGGGACAGGGCCTAGGATCTGAAATCAAGTGCCAGTGCTGGCACTCATGTATGCTTACACACACACACACACACACACACACACAAATCTCCAGTGAGAGGTGTCTACAATGTGTCATTGCTATGGTAGGCTGTGTGTCCAGGATAGGGAGCACTGTGAACCAGGGGGCAATTTAGACAATATAACTGTACCACAGAGGTTTGCACACTGAGCTGGGGCAGGGGCGGGTGGGCGGGCGGGGAGGGGTGGAAATGTAAGAGGTTTGCCCCTTGGATGAGTGCAAAATCAAAAAATCACAACCAGGGGAAGAATAGGAATGGGGAAGAGAGGGAAAGGGAGGAGAGGCAGGGAAGGGAGGAGAGGCGGGGAAGAAACCAAATAACAGCCTGTCCCCTTTCTTAGGAAGAGAATTTTCTCTCTTCAATTTAAAGAAAACCTCTCTCAAGTCAGGCCAGAAAAAAAACATCCACGCTCAGGTAAGTGGGGAGACCCAGACCTGAACTCTTAGGAGCCCCTAAACTGAAGAGACCTGGGCTGCTCCAGCATTGGCTCCCCGTACCCCTGCACTCCCCCTGCCCCCCTCCACCAGCTCATTTTTTCTCTGAGTGTATGTGCTGGTACTGAGGCTTGAACTCAAGGCCTCTTGCTCTTACTTGGTTTTTTCATACACATGGCATTCTGTCATTTGAACCACACCTCCAGGGGGCTCCCCTGCTTGGTTCTACCCTATTTTCTCAGAAAGGGGTGGCCACAGACTTGGAGCCAGCCTCTGAGCGCCGAGGAGGCTGCATAAGATATTTTCTGCATTTTTCTTCCATTAACCCTCATGGAAGCCTGCAATCTGGTTGTCATCCATCATTCCTGCTTCTCCTGCCCTGTTGGTGCCCAAGTAGGCTGATTCTATACCCTAGCTATTGTGAACCCCAAAGCAATAAACATGGGAGCACTGATTTGTTGGGGTTTTTTTGGGGGGGGGGTCGGTTGTGGGGTTTGAACTCTGGGCCTGGGCGCTGTCCCTCAGCTCTTTAGCTCAAAGCTAGTGATCTACCAATTGAGCTACAGCACCACTTCTGGTTTTTCTTGTGGTTTATTGGAGATAAGAGTCTCACAGACTTTCCTGCCCTGGCTGGCTTGGAACCACGATCCTCAGATCTCAGCCTACTGAGTAGCTAGGATGACAGGCGTGAGCCACTGGTGCCTGGCTTGTTTTTTGTTTTGTTTTTGTTTGTTTGTTTTTAACTCAGGGCCTGGGCACTGTCCCTGAGCTTCTTTTGCTCAAGGCTAGCACTCCACCACATGAGCCACAATACCGCTTCCGGCTTTTTCTGTTTATGTGGTACTGAGGAATTGAACCCAGGGCCTCATGCATGCTAGGCAAACACTACCCCTAAGCCATATTCCCAGCCCACTGGTAACTATTGTGCTAATTTCATTTCCTTTTGATGGGTATCCAGAAATGTGGTTGCTGAATCATCTGAATCATATGGTAGATTGTTAGGTTTGGGTTTTTAAATTTATTATTATTTTGTGTGTGTGTGTGTGTGTGTGTGTGTGTGTGTGTGTGTGTGTGTGTGTGTGTGTGTGTGTGTGTGTGTGTGTGTGTGTGTGTGTGTGTGTGTTGGTCCTGGGCTTTAACTCAAGGCCTGGGTTCTGTCCCTGAACTTTTGTGGTCAAGATTAGTGCCATACCACTTTGAGCCACAGCTCCACTTCTGGCTTTTTGGTAGTTAATTAGAGATAAGAGTCTCACCGACTTTTCCTCCCAGTCTGTCTTCAATCATCAGTCCTCAGAGCTCAGCTTCCTGGGTAGTCAGTATTACAAGTGTGAGCCACCAGAGCCCAGCTGTTTTTAGTTTCTTGGGAAAAGTAGATTGTTCTTCATGATCTACATTAACACCAATTTTTTTTTAATTGCCAGAGCACCTTTCTTCCTCACTGGCTGCCCATTCTGTGTGTGTGTACACCTTTGTGTGTATGTGTGTGTGTGCGTGTGTGTGTGTGTGTTGTGTATATTGGGATTTGAACCCAGGGGCTCACACTCTTGCTTGGTTTCTTTGCTCAGGCTGATACTCTACTACATGAGCCATCCCTCCACTTCTGTTTTTTTTTTTTTTTTTTGCTGAGGAATTAGAGACTTTTCTGACCCAAGTGGTTTCGAACTGTGATCCTCAGATCTCAGCCTCTAGTAGCTAGAATTACAGATATGAGCCACCAACATTAAGCCAGCTCCCCATTCTTAAGCATCTCTGTTGGCTCCTGTCACGCTCTGTCTGCATCTTCTCCCAGAGTGACCTTGTGGTGGCCTTGTCTGGTCTGGTGGCTTCAAACACCCCTCATATTGCAGCAATACCAGGCCTTTGTCTACCCTGCCCTGCTCAGAGCTCACATTGGGCTATCTAGCTGCCTCCTTGGCCTCACTAGGGAAGTCTGATGCTCAGGCTGGTGACTCTTAGCCTCTGACTACAGCAGCTTTTTTTCCTTTTCCTCATAGTCCCACCTCAGTTCCTACCCAGTGACTGCCTTCCCTGGGCATCCATCAATGGGATCACTTCCTGCGATGACCTTCCACGGGTATCTTACCAATGGAGTCACTTCCTGCCTAACCTCCCACCTCCAGCAGCTTCTCCAGACTCATGCTCCCTCAAGTTCAGGATCATCTTCTCCTCAGCCGCCCCATTCTGCTCTCCGCCAGGACTGTTCTAGCTCTTTCATCTCAGGACACAGGCCCAGCACATAGAAGGCACTCACCAAAGCTTTCTAGACTTGATGATGATCATTTACTCCTGGCCCATACGAATGGGGCTCCAGAAATGCCACCCCAGAGCACAGTGGAACAGGTGCTTCTCAGGGACAGCTGTCACTCAGAGAACCAGATGAAAATATTACTCAGTGTTTGGACACTGCCTGTCACAACCGCCTGCCTTTGTACTGTAACACATAAAGCTTTCCAACTGTTATTTCAAGAACCCAGCTGAGAGATTCCATCTTCTACCCAGAAACAGAAATGATCCAAAACTTTGGAATTCTGAAAGTCACTGATTTTTTTTTTAAATGCATGTGTGCCATCACTGGGACTTGAATTCAGGGCTTTACACCCTTGATTAGCTGTTTATTTCAGGCTAGCACTCTACCCTTGAGCCACATCTCTACTACTCGCTTTTTTGTTATTATTTGGTGATAAGAGTCTCATAGACTTTTCTGCCTGGGCTAGCTTTGAACTGTGATCCTTACATCTCAACCTCCTGTGATTACAGGAATGAGTCACTAGTGCTTGGTTCCTGCTGAAGTTTTTTTGTTGTTGTTGTTGTTTTTGTGTGTGTGTGTGTGTGTGTGTGTGTGTGTGTGTGCATTTGCATGCCTGCGCACGTGTGTTTTGTTGTGCCAGTCCTAGGGATTGAACTCAGAGCCTAGGCACTGTCCCTGAGCTTTTTGCTCAAGGCTAGCTCCACTTCTGACCTTTTTGCTGGTTAATTGGAGATGAGTGCTTTCTGTCTTTGTGTTCTTTTGCTAAAACTGAGAAACCCTTGAGCTGCATGTTCCTTGTGCCACCAGTATTGCTGACTTTGCTCTTTTTCTTCCTGAAGTCTTGTAGTGCATATTTGATCAATGATAAACTCCCTCCTGGCAAGTTGAGTACAGAAGAAAGCTGGCAATTGCAGGGTGCTACCAAAGGTATGTTGAGTTCTGCAAGGGGAAATGGTGGTTTGCAATTCAGTATTGACCTTCCAAATTCTGGTTCATTGGCTGTTTGCTTTTTTTCTGGGGTTTCTATCCTAGGCCTTAGTAAAAAACAGTATTTTAAGAGAGTATGAAATTGTTTCTTTGGTTCCATAATCACTGGGTATGCTCTATAGTTCAATCTTTTTGTGTGTGTATGTTGGTCCTGGGACTTGAACTCACAGCCTGGGCACTATCCTTGAGCTTCTTTTTGCTCAAGGCTAGCACTCTACCACTTGAGCAACAGCATCACTTCTGGCTTTTTCTGAGTAGTTTACAGGAGCTAAGAGTCTCATGGACTTCTCTGTCCCAGCTGGCTTCAAATCTCAATCCACAGATTGCAGCCTCCCGAGTAGCTAGGAATTACAGGTGTGAGCCACCAGTGCCCTATCCTATTTTCTTTCCCAAACTAGACCCTTGCTAAATTTCTTCCTTCCTTCCTTCTTTCCTTCCTTCCTTCCTTCCTTCCTTTCTTTCCTCTTCCTTCTCCTCTTCTTCCTCCTCCTCCTCCTCCTTCTTCTTCTTCTTCTTCTTCTTCTTTTTTGTCACTCACAGGGCTTGAACTCTGGGCCTGGGCACTATCCTTCAGCTCTTCAGCTCAAGATGAGTGCTCTACCACTTAAGCCTCAATGCCACTTCCAGGTTTTCTGGTGGTATACTGGAGATAAGAGTCTCATGGACTTTCCTTGCCTGGGCTGGCTTTGAACCGTAATCCTCAAATCTCAGCCTCCTGAGTAGCTAGGATTACAGGCATGAGCCACTGGGGCCCGGTTGGTTCTCTTTTTCTTACACTAGTCTTTCTATATGGGAACAGCAACATTCTGTACATATTTTTGTTGCAGTGGGTCTCAAACAGGGCAATTTTCCTCTGTAAAGAGTTCTATTACTGGGTGGCCATGGCTTTTATGCCTATAATCCTACATCAAGGTTTGAAGGCAGCCCAGGTATGCTATAGTGATTAGTTGCTTCAGGCATTTAGCAGGTAGAGGTCAGGGAGGCTACTAAGCCTACATAGGTCAGTCTCCCATGACAAAGAGCCACCTGTCCCTCTGAGGCCAAGACTAAATCCTTCTTTATTATATGCGTATTTAACTTCATCTAAAAGTAAATACCTTAACCCTTGCCCTTTCCTGAATAAAGCAAAGATTTGTGAGTACTGCAATCCCAATCTCTTCCATCTATACTTTAGTGGTACTTTGTCCATTATTTTTGGCCTTCCTGTCCTATTTCAAAACACCACAATTAAATGACATTATTATTATCATAAAATTCTATGATCAATGTTAAAGTATATTTTTATTTGCCTATTTACTGAAGAGTCACCTTTTGGGATTATTTTTCTTTTTTCTGGAAAAAAAACATACATGGTGCATAAATATTTATTTCTCTCTCTGTGTCTCTTCCCCCTCTTTTTTATTAGTCTTTTTTCTTTTAATCACATGTTTCTTTGTAAGTTCTTAGTAATTTTTGTTTTTCTTTGAATGTTTTTCTTTGTCCTTGAAGGGTAGTTTTGCTGGGTATAAAAGTCTGGCTTCAGTTGTTTTTGTTTGTTTCTGGTGTGGCACTAGAATCAAACCTAGGGCCTTGTCACCTACAAGGCAAGTGTTGCTCTGAGCTCCACTTCCAGCCATAATGAGCAGACATTTGCTTACCATGCTTTGATGATTTTGTTCCACTGCTACCTTTCATTGTTATTGTTGAGAACGGCAATCATTTTAATAAGTTCTGTATGAACGATCTGTTGTTTCTCTGCTGGTCTTTAAACCATTCTCTGTTAATCTGTTCCCCCCTCCTCCCAAAAAAAGCAATATTTTGTGTAAGAGTTGTTTTGCTATCTTACTTGCAACCTCCTTCCTGTTGCTGCCTCGCATTTTGAAATACTTTAGCTCCTCCTTCCTTGTTCTGTGGACATACTGTATCCTGTAGAGTGCTAACATGTCATCCTAGTTAGTGTTATCTTATTGCTTACATTTCCTCTTCTTTGTCAGTAAACAGGGAAGTTCTTGGAGATAGTCTGTTTCTAGCATTTGAGCAAGGACCTGATCATAGTAGGTACTGAGCAAATATTTGTTGGATAACAGATAGATTAGTATATAAACAAACACATGGCCTCCATGTGTTTATCCAGATGAAAAGCAAGTGAAATCACAGGATTTATGGTAGCTGTATCCTGTAGCATCTTGCAGTGGTACAACTGCATCCAGGTTTCTTCACTCACTGGTGGCTAAGACTGACTTTGTGCTTTTCCTCATCATCCCTGGCTAACTCTCATGATCACTTTTATGCTACATCACATGGACAGGATATCCTCGTCGTCAGACCCTAGTCTGGAGGAAAGCCACACGACAAGTCAAGAGAATATCAGAAGCCAGAGAATATGTAAATATGTTTAAAGAGGTAAGCATTCATGACTGGAAATGTCAGAGTAGAGATGGTTTAAAAGGAAAGCCAGGCAGCTCACGCCTGTCATCCTGGCTACTCAGGAGGCTGAGATCTGAAGATTGCAGTTCAAAGCCAGCCTGGTTAGAAAAGTCTGTGAGACTCTTATATCTACTAAACAACCAAAAAAAAAAATCCAGAAGTGGATCTGTGGCTCAAGTGGGAGAGAACTAGTCTTTTGCAAAAAACAAAAAAACTAGGGACAGCACCCACACCCTGAGGTCAAGCCCCAGTATCCCCGTTGTCAGTTTGTGGGATTGGCTAGGGGCCCATGGTTCATGCTTCTTATAATCCTTGCTACTCAGGAAGCTGAGGTCTGATGATTGAGGCAGACAAATCTGAAAGACTCTTATATCCAATTAACCACCAAAAAGCCAGATGTGGAGGTGTGGCTCAAGTGGTAGAGTACCAGCCTTGAGTGAGTGGTAAAGCTAAGCAAGAATGCAAGGCCCTGAGTTCAAGCTCCAGTACTGAAAATAAAAAGGGGGTGAGGGACATGGCTAGGAAATATATCTCTGTGAAAATGTTAGGGTAAGAACTCTAAAAAAGGTTACTCTAATTTTTTTTTTTTTTTTGTCAGTCATGGGGCTTGAACTCTGGGCCTAGATGCTATCCCTCAGCTCTTCAGCTCAAGGCTGGCACTCTACCATTTGAGCCACAGCGCCTCTTCCAGTTTTCTGGTGGTTAATTGGAGATAAGAGTCTCACAGACTTTCCTGCCCTAGCTGGCTTTGAACTACAATCCTCAGATCTTAGCCTCCTGAGTACCTAGGATTACAGGCATGAGCCACCGGTGCTTTGCTAAAAAAGTTTTTTATTTGCTCTGAAAACCAAGACTCTATCTCAAGAATATCCAATACAAAAAGGGACTAGCAGAGTAGTTCAAATGGCAGAGAAACTACCTACCAACTGGTAGATATTGAGTTCAGTCCTCAGTACTATAACAAATTATAATACTTGAAATAGTTTTTAGGTTATCAGCTTTTCATATTTTTTGTGCTAGTGTTAGGACTTGAGCTCTGAGCCTTTCCTCATACTCTTTTTTTTTTTTGGGGGGGGGGTCCGGTCGTGGGGCCTGAACTCTGGGCCTGGGCGCTGTCCCTCAGCTCTTCAGCTCAAGGCTAGCGCTCTACCACTTGAGCCACAGCGCCACTTCCAGCTTTTTTCTTTTTGCTTATGTGGTGCTGAGGACTCGAACCCAGGGCCTCAGGCATGCAAGGCAAGCACTCTACCACTGAGCCACCTTCCCAGCCCTTGCCTCATACTCTTGCTTAGCTTTTTCTTTCAGTTAAGACTGGTGCTCTACCATTTGAGTCACATCTCCACTTCCTAATATGAGGTCTCATTAGCTTTTTTCCCAGAATGGCCTCAAATGATAAGCCTCCCAATTTCTATCTCCTATGTAGCTGAGATTAGAGGTGTGAGCCACCATATTTCGTTTTTGTTTTCTCATATAATATATATATATATATATATATATATATATATGTCTGTCATAGGGCTTGAACTCAGGGCTATTCCTGAGATTTTTTTTACTCAAGTCTAGTGCTTTACCACTTTGAGCCACAGTTCTACTTCCAGTTTTCCGGTGGTTAATTAAAGATAATAGTCTCATGGGGCTGGGAAGGTGGCTCAGTGGTAGAGCGCTTGCCTTGCATGTATGAGGCCCTGGGTTTGATTCCTCAGCACCACATAAGCAGAAAAAAAAAGCCGGAAGTGGCACTGTGGCTCAAGTGGTAGAGCGCTAGCCTTGAGCTGAAGAGCTAAGGGACAGCGCCCAGGCCCAGAGTTCAGGCCCACAACCAGATCAAAAAAAATAAAAAGAGTCTCATGAACTTTCCTGCCCAGGCTGGTTTTGAACAACGATCTTCAAATCTCACTCTCCTGAGTAGCAGGTCTGAGCCACCAGCACCCAGCCAGGCCTGTTTCTTAATATATGCTATAAACATGGCAATATCTCTTAAAAATTATTTTCTCAGCCAGGCGCTGATGGCTTATAGCTACTCAGGAGGCTGAGATCTGAGGATCACAGTTCAAAGCCAGCCCTGGTAGGAAAGTCCGTGAGACTTTTATCTCCAATAAACCACTCGAAAACCGGAAGTGACACTGTGGCTCAAGTGGTAGAGCACTTGCCTTGAGCTGAAGAGCACAGTGACAGTGCCCAGGCCCAGAGTTCAAGCCCCACAACTGACCAAAAAAAAATTATTTTTTCCTCAGTCCTGCACTGCCTGCAAAAATCCTGAGATGACCCCCAGCCTTTTCAACCTCTATGGAAAGAGCCCGCTGATCATGTACTATCTTCTTAACCATGCTACCCTGTGCCATAAAGGCCAGGATATGCTGGTAACCCGACGGGAATGGACCAAAGCCCTCCCATATCCTTGGTCCCACAGGCCCCACTGTCCTTTCCAAGGAGTAGGGGGTGGGGGAACATGCAGGCTTTTATGCAAAGTCTGGCACCGTGACTGCTCAACAAAGACAGCCATCTATTTGACCCTCAGGCAGAAGCTTGCCTTATCTTAGCTTTACATCTAGGCCCCAAAATGGCTGAGAGATGATGAGCAAGCCAAATTTCCCCATGAGAGCCAGGTGCCTTTGGCTCATTCCTGTAATCCTAGCTACTCAGAAAGTGGAGATTTGAGGATCGAGGTATGAAGCCAGCTTGGAGAGTAAAGTTTATGAGACTTTTCTTCAGTACTAGCAAAAAGCTGGAAGTGGAGCTGTGGCTCACATGGTTGAGTCCCAGCCTTAAGTAGAAAGAGTTAAGAACATGAGCGCCTAAGTTCAATCCTCAGTATGTACACACACACACACATACACACACACACACACACACACACAGACACACACACACTTCCCTCAAGTACACAAAACTCCTTTCATTCTCTCCCAGAATGAATGGCTATGTAGGCACTTTTTCTTTCTCAAAAACTAATTAGCAGGCTGGGAAAGTGGCTTAGTGGTAGAGTGCTTGCCTAGCATGCGTGAAGCGCTGGGTTCAGTTCCTCAGTTCCACATACACAGAAAAAGCTGGAAGTGGCACTGTGGCTCGAGTAGTAGAGCGCTAGCCTTGAGCACAGAGAGGCTCAAGGACAGAGCCCAGGCCCTGAGTTCAAGCCCCAGGACTGTCAAAAAACAAAAAAACTAGTTAGTGCTTCCCAGATGCAAACTGATCCTGGAATGTACACTGAGTAGCGATCTGCTGTCCATGTAGGTTTTTTCTCTAATGTCATCCTCACATGACTTCCAAGATTTGGTACAAAACAACAACAACAAAAACTCAGACCTAAGGTGTCCACAAAGAACGTGTGGCAGATGTTGGTGTTTTAGCAGTTTTCCATCCAGGTTAGTCAGAATATAAGCTCTATTTGAAATCAAATTGATCTCCTGGTCTAGCACTAGCACCAGCACTACCACTAACCAGCCAAGTGATTTCAGATATGTTCCAGTTCCTCTCTAGGTCTCATTTGTTTTTCAATCTATAAAATCTGGATTTAAAAAATAAAACCCCATCTCATGGGGCTGTTAGGCAGATGAGTGCAGTAGGAGGAAGGGCTCCGTGGGACACAGTACTTTGGGCTCCTCATCCCAGGAGCCTTTGCAAGCAGCTAGGTAGGACTTAACATAGAGAGCTTCATGTCCACCAAATTATTTACATGTCCATAGGAAGAACAAGAACAATGCATGGTGTGGCATTGTGACAATTTCTCATGTGTCACTCCATGCTCTATATGTCAGTGTGCTGAAGTGGATGACGCCTATCTGGAGGTGCATGACCCCAGACCTGAGTTCTGGCTTAGCAATCCATGGCCTGAGGATGTCAGTGTGCACAGCTTAAGCTCCAACTCAGTATCTTCTGGGTTTTTTTGGTCCTAGGGTTTGAACACAAGGCTTCACACTAACTTGCTCAGCTTATTTGCTCATGGCTGTTGTTCTACCATGCCTTCAGACCTGCTTTTGGCTACTTTTTTTTTCTTCTCAGCTTACTTGCTCGTGGCTGGTGTTCTAGCAAGCCTTCAGACCTGATTGCTGAGTTTTTTTTTTTGGAGATGGAATCTTGTGGACTTTTCTGCCTGGGGTGGCTTTGAACTATGATCCTTTGACTTTCAGCCTCCTGAACAGTTAGGATTACAGGCATGAGGCACTGGTGTCCAGCTCTTCAGCTCCATGTATCTTAATCTATTCCCTATTATAAAAATTCATGGTGGTAAGCCGGGCGCTGGTGGCTCACGCCTGTAATCCTAGCTACTCAGGAGGCTGAGATCTGAGGATCGCAGTTCAAAGCCAGCCCAGGCAACAGAGACCGTGAGACTCCTATCTCCAATAAACCACCAGAAAACCGGAAGTAGCACTGTAGCTCAAGTGGTAGAGCGCTCGCCTTGAGCTGAAGAGCTGAGGGACAGCGCCCAGGCCCAGAGTTCAAGCCCCACGACCGACAAAATAAATAAATAAATAAATAACATCCACTTGATGCTAAACAACTAGCACCATCATCAACATCATCAGCATCTGAAATAGGTACAGTTACACCTCTTACAATAAGACAAGAAAGTGGGTCTAAAGAAGATAACATATCTTGTCTGAGGTTCTTTGGCTTGTAGAAAATGTAGCTGAGGTTCTACCAATCAAGAAGGGGTAAAGGGAGGAGGGAAGAAAGGTGGAGAATGAGACCTTAGGCCTGAAAGGAGAGGGACCTGGTGGTGTTGCCCTGGTGGTAATAGTGAGACTTTTAAGACATTCTCAAGAGGTATTTCCTAGCTTCCTGCCATCCACAGGTGTAGGGGAAGATTTCATTTGCCTTCCTAGCCTCAGACTGGACATCCTTCTGTGGCTAACTGGCAAATGGCCATTGCTTGCTTGGATTGCAGGTATATCCTGCAGAACTCACAGAAAGAAACAGGGGATCTTTCCCCATGAAGTAGGCATAGGCCAGTAAAAGCAAGGGGACAGCAGGGCTGGTAGTCTGAGACTTTTCCTTGACAATGGAATCCACTGACTCTGTCCCAACTTATGCTCATATCATCAACCTGTCCCTGTACAACATGAAGAGGAGAAAGGAAAAACTCAGCCAGCTCAACCAGCTGCACTGGCAGGAATGGAATTATTTTGATAGTTACTTACAGGAACTGCAAGGCAACATCTTGAGGTACAAGGCTGTGGGGAAAGAGTGCTTGTTTCTTTATTGCTGAAGTTATCCTAAGGGTTTTGGTGGTGGTGGTGGTGCCATTCCTGGGGCTTGCACTCAGGGCCTGGATGCTGTCCCTGAGCTGCTTTTGCTTAAGACTAGCTCAGCTTTTTGGTGATTAATTGGAGACAAGAGTCTCAAAGTCTGTCCTGCCTGGGCTGGCTTCAAATCGTGAGCCTCAGATCTTAGCCTGCCTCCTGAGCAGCTAGGATTCCAGACATGAGCCACTGGTGCCTGGCAAATGCAGCCCTTTTATATCTCCCTCTAATGTCAGAGAAGTTTATGACAACATCTTTTTTTATTTTTATTTTTGAGATGAGGTCTCACTGTGTTGCCCAGAGTGGTCTCCAAACTCATGGGCTCAAGCAATTCTCCTGCCTCAGCCTCCTTAAGTAGCTGGGATTACAGGCATGTACACCACATTCCAGCTGATGACAGCATCTTAATTTACATTATATATATATATATATATATATATATATATATATATACACACACACACACACACACACATTAATTGCTATTTTGCCTCCCTTGCATACATATAATCTGCATCTCCCTAAAATAAGTGTCTACATTTGGCCACATTTCCAAAGTCAGCTGATGTAATACCGAGTTCAGCCTTCCCATTGTACACTCTAAAGTTACATGAGCATAGACCATGGAGAAACATTCTATAGCAGCAGTAGCTAATGTTCATCAAGCCTTCTTCTGGAATTTGTGTTTATGGTCCTAGACTACAGGGACACTTCCTTGTCTTCTCTGCATCTCCAGGGATCTGAGATGAGTAACCGAGTCACTGCTGAGTTGTCAGCTGGATTCCTTGCATGGCTCTTAGCTAACTGATGAATGAACCTGTAAAAATGTGTTTTAGAAGGCTGGGAATGTGGCTTAGCATTCATGAAGCCCTGAGTTCGATTCCTCCGCACCACATAAACAGAAAAAGCCAGAAGTGGCCCTGTGGCTCAAGTGGTAGAGCGCTAGCCTTAAGTAAGAAGAAGCTCACAAATAGTGCTCAGGCCCTGAGCTCAAAGCCCAGGACTGGCAAGAAGAGCACACTGACTCTTTCCCATCTCCATCTTCTCATGTCCCACCCAGGCAGATGAAGAGCATTGATAAATTAGAAGCAGAAAAAAGGAAGACCAACTGCATGTTCATCCCGCCCTATCCCCGGTTGGAAATCAGGAAATTGAAAGGAAACCTGAAAAAAATAGAAGTTCTTTCAAGGTTGGTACAAACCAAAACCATGGAAAGAGTTCAAGGGGGAAGAGTGTCAAGAATTCACCGTGGGAAAGAGTGCAGGGAAGGCTTGTCATGGGATTCCTCCACTGTGGCAGGGGGCTTCCTCGGAGCCCCGCCCTGGGCTCTGGGCTCTATGAATATGCAAATCAGAGTTTCTTAGTTGCAAGCAACAACACAAAGTGAGCACAAAGTGAATCCTGGGCTTCAGAAACTTCTCCTAAGGGATCTGTGATGTTTTCATGCTCTCCCTCCCTCCACCATCCTTCTCTTTGGGTGCTGGCTCCTTTTCCAAGCTGCCTTTGCCCTCAGAGCCCCAGACAGCCCCAATTCCCCAATTCTGTGTCTTCATAGTGCTGGATCAAAAAGGAAGAGACACCTCCTCTCTTCAGCCTCTACCAGCCAAGTTTCACAGAATCTGATGGCTCTGCTTGGGTCTCTGCCCCACCCTCTCGGTCTGGACCAGCAGGTTCCAGCAAAAGCAAGGCTCTGATTAGCCAGGCCTTTGTGTCTCTGCAGCCAGAAGAAGGCAGGAGAGTCAGTGACATGGGCCTTCCTCCAGGAAGGCCTCCCTGACTGCCCTACTAAGTAAGACCCACTGTGCCTTGGTCTCTGGTCTCATCCTCCAGAATGTAGTCTAGATTTGTTTGTTTATCTGCTGAGATAAACAAAGGTCAAGAACCTCATCCTGGATGACCATGACTCTAAGGCCTAGTCTAGTGCTTGGATGCCCCACTTCTTTTCAATTATGACTGGAAGACCAATGAGGGGAACGGAATGTGCTGAGGCTCTGCTTCTGATACTTGTGTTAGCAACACAGACAGATCTGTAAGCTCTTTATTTTTTCTTAACACCTGTCAAGACTCCAGCGAAATTCTTTTTTTGGTGGTCCTGGGGCTTGAACTCAGGACCTGGGCGCTGTCCTGAGCTCCTTTTTGCTCAAGGCTAGCTAGTGCTCTACCATTTGAGCCACGGCGCCACTTCCAGCTTTTTCTGTGATTAATTAGATTTTCCTGCCTAGGGTTGGCTTTGAACTGCAATTCTCAGATCTCAGCCTCCCGAGTAGCTAGGATTACAAGTGTGAGCCACCAGTGCCCAGCTCCAGCAAAATTCTTAAAGAAATGTCACAGAAACTTCCAACTGGTTTTATTGCTGTTTTGTTTCCCCTCCACAGGAAGGAAAAGGAAGTGTTGAAACAAGAAGAGAAGTTGGAATCTTCTCCCTCTCCAGTGTCACTTCAGAGCCATGAAGAGTTCTGTTCCTTGTGCCCAGAAAGCTCCTCCGAAACCTACAGTACTTCTGCTACCAGGTTTGAGGAAACACCATTTTATTTAAAATATTACTCCTAGCTGAATGTGGTGGGTCAAGCCAGTAATTTCACTACCTGAGAGGTAGAGATTGGAGGACTGTGGTTTGAGACCAGCCCACATGTGATTCTGTCTTAACCAAAGGCTGGGTGCAGTGGTGTAAGCCTGTCATTCCCAGTGACAAGGGGAAGAGCAAGTAGTAAGATCTCAGCCTAGGCCAGCTGAGGCATAAAGTAAGATGTACCTCAAAAATAACCAATGTAGGGGTGAGGTCTTTCCCGATGGAGCATCTGTGGCAACACATCGTTGGAAACACCTCACAGAGTATATGTGGTGTGCTTTACTCACAGGACTATTCTATATGTCTGTGGGAAGTAACTGCAAGACACAAGGAAAAAAAAAAAACCAATGTAGGGCTGGAAATGTGGCTTAGTGGTAGAGTGCTTGCCTAGCATGCATGAAGCCTTGGGTTCCATTCCTTAGTACCACATAAACAGAAAAAGCCAGAAGTGGCGCTGTGGCTCAAGTGGTAGAGTGCTCATCTTAAGCTGAATTGCTAAGGGACAGCGCCCAGACCCAGAGTTCAAGCCCCACAACTGACAAAAAAAAAAAAAGTGACTAACAACAGAAAACTTGAGAGTTAACAAAAATTCAAGTATTGTCATGTGTTAAGAAATTGCAGATTTTGGGCTGGGATGTAGCTCAGTGGCAAAGTGCTTGCCTAGCAAGTGCAACGTCCTGGGTTCCATCCCCAGTATCAAAAAAGAAAAGACAAAAAAAAATACAGTTAAAAAAAAAACCCAAACAAACAAACAAAAAAAAACAACCCTTGGGGCTGGAAAGGTGGCTCAGTGGTAGAGCGCTTGCCTTGCATGCATGAGGCCCTGGGTTCGATTCCTCAGCACCACATAAGCAAAAAGAAAAAAGAAGCCGGAAGTGGTGCTGTGGCTCAAGTGGTAGAGCGCTAGCCTTGAGCTGAAGAGCTGAGGGACAGTGCCCAGGCCCAGAGTTCAGGCCCCACGACCGGACCCAAAGGAAAAAAAAAAAGAAATTGCAGATTTTTTTTTGGTTGTACAAGGTTTTAACTCAGGGCTTCATACATGATTGGTAGGCAATCTGTCAGCCACATCTCCATCCTTCTTTGGTGCTAGTTTTTTGTTTTGTTTTGTTTTTGGGTCTGGTCGTGGGGCCTGAACTCTGGGCCTGGGCACTGTCCCTCAGCTCTTCAGCTCAAGGCTAGCACTCTACCACTTGAGCCACAGCGCCACTTCTGGCTTTTTTCTTTTTGCTTATGTGGTGCTGAGGAATCAAACCCAGGGCTTCAGGCATGCAAGGCAAGCACTCTACCACTGAGCCACCTTCCCAGCCCGGTAGTTATTTTTGAGATAGGTTCTTACTTCATGCCATGTGCTCACTGAATCTGTCTATCAGCTGAGCTATGCAGTATACGTTAGCTATATTTCTCTTCTTGCCAAATTTTCTATCCTTGGAATTAAGTCTTGCCTCTCTATTTTAACTATGTGTTTTCTTGCTCACTTTGTGTGTGTGTGTGTGTGTGTGTGTGTGTGTGTGTGTGTGTGTGTGTTACTGGTACTAGGGCTTGAACTCAGGACCTGGGCACTGTCCCTGAGTTGTTTTGGTTTTTTGTTGTTGTTGTTGTTGGTTGTGGGGCTTGAACTCTGGGCCTGGGTGTGCTGTCCCTCAGCTCTTCAGCTCAAGGCAGGAGCTCTACCACTTGAGCCACAGCGCCACTTCCAGTTTTCTGGTGTTTAACTAGAGATAAGAGACTCATGGACTTTCTTGCCAGGGCTGGCTTTGAACCTCGATCCTCAGATCTCAGCCTCCTGTGTAGCTAGGATTACAGGTGTAAGCCACTGAGCTTTTTTACTCAAGGCTGGTATTCTTCCATAGTGAGCCACAGCTCCACTTCTGGTTTTTAGTTGTTGATTGGAAATAAAAATCTCATGGACATTTTTGCCAAGGCTGATTTTGAACTATGAACTTAGCCTCCTAAGTAGCTAGGATTGTAAGCATCATCCACTGGCTCTTGGCTTTGTTTTCTTTTTTTCTTTTCTTTCGTTCTTTCTTTCTTCTTTTTTTTTTTTTTTTTGTCAGTTGTGGGGCCTGAACTCTGGGCCTGGGCCATGTCCCTCAGCTTTTCAGCTCAAGGCTAGCACTCTACCATTTGAGCCAGAGCGCCACTTCTGACTTTTTCTGCTTATGTGGTGCTGAGGAATTGAACCCAGGGCCTTATGCATGCAAGGCAAGCACTCTATCACTGAGCCACCTTCCCAGCCCTGCTTTGTTTTCTTACACATGCATCACAAATCACCTCCAAATTCTCTGCTAGTTGTATAACTCTCTATCTAGTACATTATGGAGCTCGTCAGCTCCCAGCTTTCTGGCCTGCTGTAGTTGGGCTGCTGACATAATCTCAATCATCCTCGGTGTTTGATCTGTTTATGTTTTTGTCTTTTTACCTCTACAGAGGGGTGGAGAAAGACAAGAAACCGAAAGTCCTGTCCAAGAAGGACCCCTCCATCTTCAGCCTCTCCTCCTCCACCTCACACGGATGAATCTCCTCCAAGAACCAAGAAGGGCTTCTTAAGAGGAGCCTGCTTACATTGTCTGATGTCATCTCAACACAGAAACAACCAAAGAAAAAAGTAACCAGCACTAGAGACAAATGTAGTCACTCCTAGTCCATAGGACAAAGCATATTAAAGTTCACTACAGTGTGAGCCAAAGGCAGGATTTTATATTTTTCAGTACTGAGGTTTGAACTCAGGACCTTGTACTTGCCAGGCAGATACTCAACCAGGGAAGGGTCTTGTGTTTTTCAGTCAAACCAGTCCCCATCTGACCAATTGCCTGAAACAGGAACACAGTAGAAAGTCCCTTGACAACTGCTCAGTCCCTTCCACTGCTCAGTCTCCTGAGTGACCTTCTCTTTGTTAAATATCTTTACAACTGCTCATCATTCCTAGTTCTGTTTCTATAGTACCAGAAAACAAGAACCCACCACACTCATACAGCATGACCATCTTTTGTTTTTGTTTTTGTTTTGTTGTTGTTGTTGTCAGTCATGGGGCTTAAGCTCTAGGCCTGGGCGCTGTCCCTCAGCTCTTCAGCTCAAGGCTAGCACTCTGCCACTTGAGCCACAGCACCACTTCCGATTTTCTGGTGGTTTATTGGAGATAAGAGTCTCACGGACTTTTCCTGCCAGGGTCAGCTTTGAACTGTGATCCTCAGATCTCAGCCTCCTGAGTAGCTAGGATTATAGGCATGAGTCACCAGTGCCCCACATGACTACACATTTTAATTGTTAACTCCAAATTGAAATGTGTATTTGTCCCATGGACTTTAGATATTTTTGGTTGGAAAGTTTTTGTTTATTTGTTTGTTTTTCTTGTTGGTCTTGTGGCTTGAACTCAGGGACAGGGCACTGATCTCTTTTGCTGAAGGCTAGTGTTCTACCACTTTGACCATAGCTCCAATTCCAGTTTTCAGGTAGTTAATTGGAGAAGAGAGTCTCATGGACTTTCCTGCCTGGGCTGGCTTTGAGCTGCAATCCTCAGATCTCAGCCTCCTAAATAGCTAGGATTGGGCTGGGAATGTGGCTCAGTGGTAGAGCACTTGCTTTGCATGCCTGAGGCCCTGGGTTCAATTCCTCAGCACCACATAAGCAGAAAAAAAAAAAGCCGAAAGTGGCGCTGTAGCTCAAGTGGTGGAGCGCTAGC